TGATTTAGGATGAATGGTTTCTACATCTAGGTTATATAGGTTATACAACTTGGTTGGAGGTTTGCATGTGTTCAATTGAGTGTGCGTTGAATGTTACAGAGCTGGGTGATGTTTTGTATCTATACAGTACAGTTTTGCGAAAATAGAGTACCCGTAGCTCTTGTAATTTGTTTCTTACCCGGTAATTAACTGTTTTATGGATTATTTTATGCATGAAATTAGCAGCTGATCACTAGGACAAGGGCATCTTCACCAGCAAAGGTTCATTCACCATTATACCTTTGTAGAATTCCCACCATATACTTGTATTCACTGTTCATAAAATTAAACATTATGGCGCATGCTGTGGTGTGTTTCCATGGAGATTTAAACACAAGGTCTTGCGTTTTTTCAGTCCATGGTGTATATAAGACAACAAAATCAATTGGTTTAAATTTGAAATTGGTTCGGAACAGGAATAGGTCAAGAATGCTGTTTGATGGATCCAGCTTCTCAGCATGGCAAATCAAATCATTCAAATTAACTGCTGTCAAATACAGCTTTTCTAATCACACATAGGTTTGTATTTTGAACGATGGGGGGAAAAGAGATAAATATTTCATTCTATTTTTCTTGATTACAGTTGAAGTGTGCCATGGCTTTGGGTAAACCCAATACGGAATTGATACCAATCTACATATCACTAGCTGCTACCTATCAAGACAACAAAGATCACAGTAAGGCCATTGAATGTTATAGAAAAGAATTAGAATTGAGACACGATAATCCTAAAGAGGTAAAATACATTGTACAAAATAAACTAGAATTGACTCGTGCATCGTTTTTTGTAATTGTACATACTTGTGATAAAAATATACTGCAGCAATATCCGCAGACCTGTATCCATTATACTGTAATAATAATCTGTACATGTCTTTATTCAGAGTGTTAAAACTTGGTTGAACATAGCCTTGTCCCAAGAAGAATGTCAACATGAATATCACACATTATATCAGTCCTATAAAGAAGCTATGAATTGTGCAGAGAGAGCGAATGTCCCAAAGTTGCAGGTAAGAATATCCAGAGATATATAGCTAATCACCTAACAATAGTCACAGTGTGAAATACCATAGATATGGTAATCATCAATATATTCACCTTTAGTTCATGGATCTCATGAGATCAGCTCTACAAACATCCTATATCAACTGATAACCTCATATAATTAGAAAGATCAATCTGTGAGTTCATATACAACACACTTGAGTGATATCTCCTATAGTATTAAACCTCACTATGGCGACCATTTTGGATTATGGTAAAAATTGGTTCAATTAATTCGTACATTAAGGTTCTTAATTTGTTCAGTTACCAATAATTCAGACTTTTAAATAGCCATTCACACAGAATAATTTAGCAACATAAATCAAGCAATTAGTGCACTGCAATTAAGGTAGTTTGCTACCTTTAAAAAACATACTTGGGGAAATCTCCAAAATCCAGCAAGAGGGGTTACTGTAATGTTCAACATTCTGAAATAAAAATATATGCACCTAACTAAGTTTTCCACAAAACGGTCCTTGAAATTGATCAAAGATGCGTGTTTTGAGTAGTTTATCTTTGGTTCCTATGACAGAAACGTTCCATCATATCTCAGAAGTTTGTAGTGATATGTAGTGTCATAAGGGCTACATATGGTTGTCACGAAAAATCTGAGAATTTTGAATATTAGTATAAGTTATGATTATTTTGTATATGTTTTATTGAAAACATATCCTTCTTTCTCTGTAAAAACTTTAAATATGAATGATTTTCATGTATGTAAATCATCACACAACAATTTGATTTTGATTTGATTTATTTTGCCAGAAAATATACAACAGAAAACAAACAATGCGAGAAAGAAAAAAAAAGGATGTTTGAAATTTTCTGGTTTGTTCCAAGGAAAATAGTTCGTCTGAACTAATCTAGTCTAAGAACCAACTTATTGTATGATATTATGGTAATAAAACTGGTTAAATGATTAATTAATGATTAGAATAATTCAATTAAAATGGAGTTAGGTAGGTAGGACATCCAAGAATAGTAATATACAACTTATAAAGGGAGAGAAATAAAAGAAAATAACAAATCTGATGTGTAAGAAACATATTGATAAGGTAAACAGTTTAATTCTGTAGTAGGTAATGTGTTTTTGAATTGTGTTCTATTATGGGATATTTTAAGGGAGGCTGGGAGTGAGTTTCAATGTGGTTTAACAGATGCAAATTTTAGATTATGCTGAGAAATGGTCAGGTTAACTTTTGAAATTGCAAGATTGCTTTGCAGTATAGACTTTGTCGGATAGCTATGAGACAGATCATCATATGTATTAATGATTTACCGTGACTACTAGTACCTTGATTAATGTAGCGGGACTATTATTTGCATACTTGTTTTCTTCTTCTAATTGGGACCAAACGACTACAAATAGACCCAGGAAAGTATATATTTTTGGAATCGCCAGACTTCAAGCTTTTCAAAAGTGTGTTTGTCATGCCCGTATCTGCATTCTACGGTGCGTTACTTATCAAAAGTGAAAAATTACTTTTTTTGTAAAAAAAATAATTACGCATTTATGCTGGTGATAAGAAGTTTTGTTTTCACTTTTCCTAGTTGTTCAATAGTCTGGTAAATTGAATGTGTCTGGACAGTTTTATTCAAGTAACACGTTTTGAAAAGTAATGTCCTGAATTTTAATTTCTGTTTTAGTCGCATTGACCCCAACTCAAACCACAACATATTGGTAAATAATCCATGAAATAGTTTGTCTGGACACATTCAAGTTCCTCTCATTGTCACCTTAAAGCTGTGAAAATTTGGTGTAATCCGACG